TTCTTTAAGTCTTTGCTGGAAAAGAAAGACTGACGGAAGCCCTTTGGTGGTTGAGGAAGAACTGCAAAGAAGAAAAAAGCATAGACATTAAAACAAAATATTGAAAACTTTATACAAGAAAGCAAGAAAATTTGTGAAGGGTGGCCCTTACCAGCTCCTTCCCCGAAAACTGTTCGACTAAGGGGGTAAAGATGAAGGTCATTGTTTGGCTGAAACTCCCAGTTTCCCGAGACAATGAAGTAATCATCCCCCGCTCCCTTATTAGAATCAAGGAGGTTAGCAACGATTTTGTATTCGGTGGACCTCGGCTTGAGGTAATAGATATGGCCTTTTTCCGATTTCAGGCGACACATGGTATAACAGTACTTGAAATCGGCAAGAGTAATCCTAGCATTCTCTTGTTTGGCTAAGGCTATGGTACCGTTAATAACTCGGTAAGAATTGATGGCAAGTTGCATTGGATTTAACTTATAGAAATGAAGGATTTGGCGAAAAAAATGGTCAAGTGGAAACCTAAGTCCGCACTCAATAAACGCTACTACTGGGAAAGGCATAAGGTGCATGATAGAATCATCCTCCCCAGCCAACCTCAGATGAACGTCGGCCAGGATTTCGAACTCCTGCCTAAAGTATTCTAATTTTGCCGGGGTATTTACCCTATGTTTCCACATATCCATGACGTCAGCTTAAATGGAGATATCGGATTTCAGGAAGAAGTGTTTTTTTGAGGGTTTAAAGGACCTCGGTCAAAAACCTAAAGGTATACTATGGTAAGGGTTTGTATGGATCTAGAAGGAATTCGTTTCAGTTTTTCCTAAAAACTGTGGGTTTTACAAACAAAGTCCCAAACCTAAAACTATGGAGATGAGGATTGAAGGAACGAATCTGGAAAAACACGGCAAATAGAAACAAGAATACAATTCAGATTCAAGAACAAAGATGGACTATCAAGAACATCGCAAGTACAGAGGGTATGAAATCAAGAACAGTGGTAAAGATGTGAGAAAGTTGTGAATAGTATATGCATTCAAGGCGTGAGCAAGAGAAAAGTTGTGGAATAATCACAGATATATGATTCGCAAATCAAATGTTTGAACAGAGCAGTAATGGCAACGAGTAATAAAGAACATCAAAAACTGAAACCAGACGAAATAACGGCTTACCAGAAAGAGAGACGCCGAAATGGGGATTGCCGAAGTCTGACGATGGTTACGAAGGCAGAAGATCGGTGAAAACCACGCCGGAAGAGGTGAACAGTAGCGATGGCAGAACTTTAGAACCTTGAACAATGGAGGGTTTGGAAGAAAAGTTCGAAAGAGAAAGGCTTCAGATGCAAAAGTAAAGAGTAAAGAGTGAAGAAATAGAGAGAGACGAAACAAGTTTTGTTAAAACTTGAAACGGCGGCAAAAACAGGGCAATTAATGCGCCTAGAACAGCTAATACGTCAGACGGCGCATGTAGGCGTGAGACGACTTAGAAACGCGTAATAAGTACGATCCAGTAAGGGAAAGGCACGTGGCCTAAACGATTGAGTTGTTATGTATAACAGCTCATATGCGTGAAGAAGCCCTTGGAATTTGATCTTTAAGAAGACATATCGGCCTACGATGATGATCTCGACTTAAGCCGATGGAAGGAAGTTCTGGTATAGGTTTCATCACCTTAGAATGCCGAGGTAATAAAACTTAGGGGACAGTTGTGGGGATATATTTTTTGAGTACCAACACGTGGCTAAGGTGACACCAACGTGTCAACTGAGGTGCCACGTGTCTTGGTCATGACGCCGAGATTATCTCGAAAAGGCCAGGGTTATCTTCGAAGATATCGGAATCCGAGATAAGCAGATAAGGGACAAGAGTCCTAGAATGGAAGAAGACTTCAGTTTGGGTAAAGATAAGACTCTTAAAGAGTTTATCTTAATCTTACTGAGAGTCCAAGATTAGCAGTAATCCTAAGTCCAATAGAGCTAGGCTTCTATTGGGACTAAGATTGTGTTGGCTATAAAAGAGAGGCACCCCATGGGTCTAAGGTACGCAATTTATATTCTGAATAGTGAGATTAGTACTATTGATTATCTTTGAGAGATATACTGACTTGATCGTCGGAGTGCCCCTGAGTGGACGAACCACCGCCGAAATCTTCTCTTTCTATTGCAGGTTAGCCAGGTGTCACCTATTCTGCCAGTATTCTCCAGCTGAATACTAAGTTGACAGTGTGGTCGGAAAATCACCCACACACATGCTTTGTGAAGTAAACACACATCATGTTTTGGAGTTTTGCTTTTCTTAACCTATGCAAAATACCTTCTTAACAAGTATATACTTGACCAATTAAAAACTTATTTTGAGCTCATTTGGAAAGTATGGGTTTGGGTTTTTTGGCTAAAATAGTCAAAAAAAAAAAAAACAAAATAGATTTTTTAATTCAATAAGACAAAATATTACATCTAACCTATAATCATTACATTTTTTCTCTCACAAAAAGTTAAAAAAACCAAAAAAACCCTTGTCAAACCAGGCTTTTTAGTTCCAGAGTAAAATAGTCAAAAAATCAACCTACTTCCCAAACGAATCAAACTTATTGTACAAATCAACTATAGAGAAATTCAACTTTATACGAAAAAAAAGAAATCTCATTTTATCATGCTAGTGATAAAAATAAAATATATTTATATAAATTTTTGTATCTATATTTTATTTTTTAAAATAATTATATAAATATATTAGAATTTTATTTTAGTTATTTATTTGTGTATGATTTGAAAAGTCTAAAAAATTAAAATTTTAAATGCCTACCCTGAAAAGAATTTGTGAAGTACTCACTATGAACCCCTTGAAAAAATTCCTGAAATCGCCAATGGCCACACACTCAATTGTGTAGAATTTATCTCCATTCATTGTGGGTGAATTTAGAAATCTAAATTGTGGGTCTCCAACACTTCCTTAATTTTATTATATTTTCATTCAAAATAGAGATACATTTATAAAATTTTATTTATTGTTTATTTATTTTAAAGGATAAATATATAAAATCATCTAAATATAATTTTTTTATGAATATAAATAAAAATTTAAATCACCCAAATGAGACAAGTGATAAAACTTATGGCCTCAATTGCACAATACGTCCAAGGGCAGCCCTAACATTTTGAAGACTTAAGGCGAATTTAAAAAATGAGGCATGGCTTTCATACATATTTAAAAATATATATATTGGTAAATAATAACAATTCTTGATTTATTTTTGCTTATACAAAATTTATTGTATATATAAACATTAAAATTACTATATCTTTACCCATATAAGTGAATCAAATATTAAATGAGATATCTAATTTTAAATTATTGTATTAATAAGTGAATCAATTATAATTTATGTTTCACAATAGTTATAATATTATATCTTCTGAGTCATTTCATATGATTTTTTTAGTTGACATAATCATAGTCATTGAGATTGACATAAAACATAATTATTGAGATAAATTTTGAACATTGTCAATTGTTTACATTATTAATTTATTCACACTTTTTTTCTAACGTAGTAGATTGAATTGTAAAATTTGATCAATTTCAACTTCAAAAAAACAAAAATTCTCCAGAAATAATTATAATTGGCATAGTCAAACAATATTTTGTAAATAATTTATATATTTAGCAACCAACCATCTATTAGTTTTAAATAATTCACCAATTATTTTTTAAATTTTTTTTGTAAAACTTTATTTTTAAACTACTAATATTATAATATAGTGTTTGATTCACTAAAATAAAACAAAATTAAATAAAATGATCATTCCTTAACCAAACATAACTTTAAATCAATACTATTTTGTGCCCTGTTTATAGATAAAATTTGAGAGCTCGAGGCGGCAATCTTACTCGCCTTGCCTCAGGACCGGCCTTGAAAACGTAAGTGATTGTAGAAAAGTCTAATTCTAAAAGTAATGTGGGGAGTAATTAAAACAAAATCAACAATAAAAAAAAATATGATAATACATACCTGAACAAACAACACAAAATAAAACTAAACCAGTTATACGAATTCAATTCATTGTTCAAAATAAAATGGACATATAAAGCGGTCAAACTTTAATTGTTAAATTAAAATTTATTAAAATCTTAAACAAAATTTAAATAACCTAATATTTTTATTGAATGAAAAATTTTATATTGAGACAACTGTATAATCGAGTTGTAATTTTTATATATTTTTTTATGAATTAATGAAACCATATAAAATGAAATCATTGTTACACGTAATATTTGCACAAACTTCCATTCCTGGTGGAAATGTGGGCACTAAAGCGAGATCGACGGTCGTTATTGCATTGAACTGCGGATCGTAGAGAAAGTGGTTCACCATTTATTGATTCGGTTCGGTGGGTTTGTCTTGACAAAACTATCTTTCTGAGGTTCCCGGGTACCACTTAATTCGATCTGAGGAAGAGGACTTTAGAAAAAGATAGAGAATATATTCTTATAAAAAAATTATCGACAATGCTACGTAACTCAAATTTTGTAGCTCAAAAGTGATTCAAATGGCCAAAACGACGTCGTTTTGAGTACAGAACAACATAAAAATGGCTAAAACGACGTTGTTTTAGCCATTTGAGCCACTTTTGAGCCACAAAATTTGAGCTACGAGACATTTTCCAAAAATTATTATATACAAAATTAACATTTTAAATCATCATCAAATGTGCTAGCAAAAAAATAAAAATAAAAAAAATCAAATGTTATATCATTTTTTATATAAAAATTATGATGTTGTAAGAATTAAATTTGAATACCATGTAATAGATCAGCAATGTATTAGTTTGAGACAATTTGCTAAAATAATTTTACCGTTGAAAAATATAAAAAAAGTATATTAAAATATATATAAATACTTTGGCCTTGCTTCTTCTTATGCTACGCGTCTCTTATTTTTTTAGGTAAAAAAATAAAATAAAAATTAGATAAATGAAAGAAGTGAGACTTGAACTTTAGATCTTAAATTTGGTGAAGAAAACTCTTACCACTTGACTAGTACATAATATACAATAAATATTTTATTTTATTTTTACTTATTTAAATATTTTATTAGTACGCATTAATGTATGCTGGACTATTTTTAACATTAATGTGTGCTGGACTAGTTTTAACATTATGTTGTTCTTATTAGAGTCGTTAAGACTGACGGTAGCAAGACACTTATTTAATAAGCCTCCCCTGCCACCAAAGATTTGATATCAAATTTGTGATGCATGTATAAAAAATTTGATACTTAAATTTAATCGCCACACCATTAATTTGTTAGATTATCATTTAAAAAAAAAAAATTTGGAAACAAAAGGAATAGATAAATAATTTTCAACAAAGAAATCGAAGTCTTTCCTCAGTACTCTCCCATTGTTATTCAAAATAGTTAATTTCGGCCATGTTCATGACTTATATTTTTATTTAATTATCTAAACTGTATTCCAAGTTATGAAGAAAAATAACAAAACCTGCATGCCTAGAACACAAAACCCCTTCCCAGAATTCACCTTTGTTGCAGAGGTCCTAAGTAGAACCAGAGAATCAGGTAGCCTATCTGGGGCACTGGCATAAACCATTGAAACTACATAATATCAATTCCTGCAATTTCAGATGAAAAACCCTACACTACTTTGGTACTCTTCGGCCTTTCTCATGCAATATAAAGCATTCAATCCACAACATAGTACCTAATTCCTATATGTCATAACTCCAAAGAAGGAAAATGCTATATGAGGAAAAGTTGAAAAAATAACCCCCAACAATAAAATTGTTTATATTACCTGTCATTGAGATGTAACTTTCTTTGCAACCCTCGACATGGAAGTTGAAAAGCAACCACAAACAGCTGTTTTAAACCTGAGACCTGCTGTGAGTAGAAACAACAAAAAATAAGATTTGAAAACTAGATGTAACATTCTAATGCAATGATAGCAGTGGAGTGAGTGCCAATCAGAATTAAACCAAAAGAACAAGTCAAGCATATAGGGGAAACTAAAGAGAAGTACATACTTCAACATCCATTACCATTATAATTTATAATTTTCCTGATAAACCATTTAAGTGAAGATTGCCTAAATCAAGTAGCAAAAACTGAATGTCATTATGATATCAAGCAATTCTAAACAGGAGTCGGAAAAATAGATAATGGAGTTTTCACTAGGGGACAGAGAAACTTTATTCGCAAAAGTCGGCCTATATACATAAAAAGGTCTTGTTAATATGTGTCCTAAGGGCACGCGTTAAGATGCTTAAAATGTTTGTAAAATGTTTATTGCACACACTACAATACAAGATGTATAAGCATTTTAAACTTCTTAACATGTGCTCTAAACATTCCAACATTTCATATACCATGTTTGTATCTCTAGCTCCCTATGCACTCAAGAGTGTTGCTTCTATGAGCTGGTGGTGAGACTATTCCACTACAGGCATTACTACAAAAAAATTCAACATTCATATAACCATATTTTGTATCTCCAGCTCCCAATGCACTCAAGAGTGCTGCTTCCATGAGTTTCGTCGTTTGGGAAAAAACTTGTAAGTTTAGAATGACTTTTTGATTTTTTACGAAAAGATGTGCAAAAAGTAGAGAGAAAAGAAAATTTTTGACTTTTTGGTATAGGTTATAGGCTTTTTGGTTTTTTTTAATTACTTTTTGATTTTTAGGCTAAAACTACTACTTCCCAAACGAGGCTGCCTAAACTCCATAAGAGGTTTTCGTCATGTCAATGAACAAATGCTTCATAACCTACCAAATATGTGGCTCAAGAGCCTTCACAGACATCCAAGTTCATGCAAATGTGTAACCGCTAAGCACCATATATTGCCAGACTTACAATTGTAGAGATATCTAGTAGAACAATCTGACCTACTATTTGAAGGTCAAACCGGCCAACCAGAACATTGAATCCTTCTATCCATTTTGATGAAAACATGGAATGAAAGTTTGATCCTTGACCATGGATTGCCATACTCAGGGTTTTTTTAGCCCTTAACAGCGGGCAAGGCTAGGCAATCTTGATATCTCTTTGTGAGAATATATTGTATATATTATAGATTTGATATAATTCTGATTGTGTATATATTAGGCATGGTTGTGATTATGTAAATCTTATATTTCCTTTTTTGGTTTAGGAGTTAGGGTTATATAAACTAAGGTCTTGATGTAATTGAAACACACAATTGAATACATTGTGTATCAACCGTGCTATGTCGCTCGAAACTGAGCCGCCCCTAATCCCCTGAACCAAAAACGACGTCGTTTCGTCGTTTTTGAATTTTTTTTTTTTTTTTGCAGAAGAAGAACGAAGATCAGAGAAGAAAAATGAAGAAAGGAAGGAGGGAGGGAGGAGGAGGAGGGACTGGAGGGGGCATAATATTCGGGGGAGGAGGAGGCGGAGGTGGGGCGACGGCGGGGAGGAGGAGCTGCTGCTGGTTGTTGCTGCGATGAGAGGCAGAGGGGGGGCGACGGCAGGGAGGAGGAGTTGGTGGTGAGGCGACGACGGTGGGTGTCGAGATCGGAGCTCTCCTCTCCTCTCTCTTTCTCCCTCTCTCCTTCTCTCCTCTTTCTCTCTTCTCTTTCTCTTCCTCTCCTCTTCCTCTCTACAGACTGAAAATTGAAGGAAAAAAAGAAAAAAAAAAAAAACCTAATGCTCAAAACGACGTCGTTTTGGGCATTAGAGGGATTAGGGGGCAGGGATTTTCGAGCTCTCAAACATTATTCCATTGTATATATATTAGGCATGGTTGTGATTATATCAAATCTATAATATATACACAAGAAAAATGCTATAGGCCCCAAATTTTCTACCAAATGAATGATTAAATGTCTCACATGGGTGTGAGACTCACAAAAAAGTAACCCTACACCCATGTGAGACAGTTGATAGAAAATTTTGTATCCCTACCATTACCCTATATAATAAATTTCTAGAATATATACGATACATTCTCACACTATCCCCCACCAAGAAGGCCCTTTAGCATAGTCAAGGCCCACAGGACCTGTCATAAATTTGGCAATCCTCGTCTATGTTCCAAGTGCCTGACTTAAATATTACTAAAGAAAATCAACCTTCCCAAAGCTTTTTTTTTTGGATACATTCTCACACTATTCCAAGTGCCTGACTAACTATTACTAAACAAAATCAACCTTCCCAAAGCTATTTACGATGAGATAATTTTGAATATTTTTTGTCAATTTTTTTTTTTTTTTGAAACTCACTCTTCTAGAGCCAATGACTCTAAATGACTTTAGCATGTCATTTTTTTATAAGTAATTTTTCCATATTGATATATACCTAAAACACATCTTGAATGATTGTATTCCCAAGAAAATTTTCACTTGTCCAATTATAAACTACAACCATGATGCAAGATATCATTAAGGAATCATCTAAGATTGAAGAGAGTAACAGGTATGCCCAAAGGTTATCCTTAGGTGCAGGGGAGATTCCATCATAAATCTTTTGAATGAACACATCGTGGTGAAAGGATTCATAATAAATAAATCACTAATGCAAAATAAATAACAAGTGAATCCAAGGAGACATCAAGCAAGTGGACATGTGGAAGAGGTGTAAGCACCAACAATAGATGAAAGTTTAGTGTTTATCACATTGGAGGAAGAAATTTGTCAGGGTACCTAAGCTTGAAATAAGGAGAAATCCAAATGACCCTTGTGTCACAATACGAGATGACCAAGTCTAACCTTTATCCTCTGCCACACATCAATCCTAATTTTGACACATACAACAAGCATCTTTTCCTACTCATGAATTATCTAGTATTTGTGCACGTGCATATGCATAAGTGTTTGCAACTGATTCTGTCCAAATTTTGAGCAGACTTCAGAGTTATGACAAGCTTGCGTTTTAAAGTTGGAAAATATGTCCAACTAGTTGCGATTAGCCGAACATGCTAAAGTGCATTGAAATATATGAAAAGTGTATAAAAAAATTAAGTCAGGCACTTGGAAGATAGACAAGGATTGCCAAATTTATGACAGGTCCTGTGGGCCTTGACTATGCTAAAGGGCCTTCTTGGTGGGGGATAGTGTGAGAATGTATCGTATATATTCTAGAAATTTATTATATAGGGTAATGTTAAGGGATACAAAAAATTTTATCAAATATCTCACATGGGTGTGGCGTCTATTTTTTTGTGAGTCTCACACCCATGTGAGACATTTAGTCATTCATTTGGTAGAAAATTTGGAGCCTATAGTATTTTTCTTGTGTATATATTATAGATTTGATATAATTCTGATTGTGTATATATTAGGCACGGTTGTGATTATGTAAATCTTATATTTCCTTTTTTGGTTTAGGAGTTAGAGTTATATAAACTAAGGTCTTGATGTAATTGAAACACACAATTGAATACATTGTGTATATATTAGGCATGGTTGTGATTATATTAAATCTATAATATATACACAAGAAAAATACTATAGGCTCCAAATTTTCTACCAAATGAATGACTAAATGTCTCACATGGGTGTGAGACTCACAAAAAAATAGACGCCACACCCATGTGAGATATTTGATAAAATTTTTTGTATCCCTTAACATTACCCTATATAATAAATTTCTAGAATATATACGATACATTCTCACACTATCCCCCACCAAGAAGGCCCTTTAGCATAGTCAAGGCCCACAGGACCTGTCATAAATTTGGCAATCCTTGTCTATCTTCCAAGTGCCTGACTTAATTATTACTAAAGAAAATCAACCTTCCCAAAGCTTTTTTTTTTGGGATACATTCTCACACTATTCCAAGTGCCTGACTAACTATTACTAAAGAAAATCAACCTTCCCAAAGCTATTTACGATGAGATAATTTTGAATTTTTTTTGTCAATTTTTTTTTTTTTTTGAAACTCACTCTTCTAGAGCCAATGACTGTAAATGACTTTAGCATGTCATTTTTTTATAAGTAATTTTTCCATGTTGATATATACCTAAAGCACATCTTGAATGATTGTATTCCCAAGAAAATTTTCACTTGTCCAATTATAAACTACAACCATGATGCAAGATATCATTAAGGAATCATCTAAGATTGAAGAGAGTAACAGGTATGCCCAAAGGTTATCCTTAGGTGCAGGGGAGATTCCATCATAAATCTTTTGAATGAACACATCGTGGTGAAAGGATTCATAATAAATAAATCACTAATGCAAAATAAATAACAAGTGAATCCAAGGAGACATCAAGCAAGTGGACATGTGGAAGAGGTGTAAGCACCAACAATAGATGAAAGTTTAGTGTTTATCACATTGGAGGAAGAAATTTGTCAGGGTACCTAAGCTTGAAATAAGGAGAAATCCAAATGACCCTTGTGTCACAATACGAGATGACCAAGTCTAACCTTTATCCTCTGCCACACATCAATCCTAATTTTGACACATACAACAAGCATCTTTTCCTACTCATGAATTAACTAGTATTTGTGCACGTGCATATGCATAAGTGTTTGCAACTGATTCTGTCCAAGTCCCAGTCCAAGTCCCCAAATTTTGAGCAGACTTCAGAGTTATGACAAGCTTAGCCGAACATGCTAAAGTGCATTGAAATATATGAAAAGTGTATAAAAATATGTGAAAGTGCTCTCGGATGTGTTTAAAATACCTTGAGATTCTTTTTTTTCTTTTTTTCGTCATTATCGTCCGCTTATTAAGAGCCCATTTGGATTTATTAGCATGACCCCTAAAGTGACTTGATCAATCAGAATATCCTCAATTGTTAAAAAAAAAAAAAAAAAAAAAAAAAAAAAACTGTATGAATCAACCAAATTATCCAATTCTTATTCAAACTTCAACTGACCATTCAAAGGGTTTTACCAAACAAATGCCATTATAGTTCAATCTGCAGAATCTACCGGAATAAGGGTTTCACTACCATGTCAGAACTAGCCATTGAATTTTCAAACTGATAAAAGTTCGCAGTGATCATAATTAAACCACCATTATATATATATATATATATTTAGCAAGTAATCAACAGTTTAAACAGCAACCAAGATGTGAGGAAATGAAATGAATTCTAAAAATGAAAGTAAAGACAAGGAGGGTTAACTTCGATGCCGAACTTCACGTGTTTTCGACTGAATATAGCACTAGGATTAACGTAATTGTTCACCTCTTCGGGAATTGATCCCCCTCGGAATACCTTCTCGACTGCATAAAATCATCGAACACAGATTGGATTTTAAATGTACAATTCAATAAAACAGCATAAAATCAATGAACGCAGATTGGATTTTAAATATACAATTCAATAAAACAGCATTAACAATCCAAAAAAAAAAAAACTTTGGAATTGTGGACGAGTCTCAGATGCGAAGCCAATTGATTACATTTGCCTTTGGACATAGCAATTTCAAGAACAGTGAATGTAGAGAGAGACGTATCGCAATGGGTTTATTCGATTTTGGTCTGATATACCGTAATGGCATGCATGAAGCTGTGGTGTTTTTTTGGTGCCAAATAAATAGCCAATGCACCATTTTTTTGGACCGGGCCAGTCCAGCTCGAACCACTCTCGGGTAGGGCCTGGGCTGAGATCCTTAAACCTTAGGCATGCCAAAAGTCTGGCTTGAGCCTGGTAAAAGCCCAAGTTTTGAGGTGGTTATGATCAATGGTTAACGATGGTTCTGATGCGTGGCTTTGCTAAAATAGGTTATAATGAGATCACGGATTTAATAAATGATGCGGGGAAGAGTAGTCACATTGATTCATAAGAAGCTCAACAAACTCTTGAAATAGCATAAGCTAATTTGAAGAAAGCAGAAGGGAAGAGCCAAATAATTGAGGTAAATCTAGCTCTCAGATGAGTTAGGACACGAGTCGAAGCTATCAATGTGATTTTGTAACTTGTCTAGTTGGTGTGTCCGAATAATCAAAAGAAGTTGGGTTTATATATCCTCTTTTGATTTGATTCTGTCGATTGAGTACAATCAAATATAATCAAGCGGAATCAAATTTTAATGCAACGGAAAAGAAAAAATCAATAAAATAAAAGAAGATGGATAGAAAAACTTGTTGGATACCGTTAGCGTATCTAATGAGTTCTACTTACTATTGGATTTGAACCAATGACTCTTGCTAATGGAAGTAATACGCTAACCACTGAGGTAAGTAGGCCATTTATAATTTCAAAGAGAATCAAATGTGACCTATCACATCGATGGATTAAAAATGAACTTTCGTTCGATTGGCACTCCATCTACCGGTTAAGAGAAGGAGAGTCAAACTTGTAACCTCCAAAATGAAATTAACAAGTTCTAACTATTTCATAAAAACTTTCATTAATCTAATTTATTAATTTTAGTTGTAATCTAATTTACCAACTTACTAATATCTTATCATTTGTAAAAATAAAAATAAAAAAACCTCTCATTCTTCATAGACCCTCATTAATAAAGATTAAAAAAAACATTACTTATCCAAAAGCTCAAAAAAGAAAAAGAAAAGCTCTCATCTAAAGCCTTTCTTTCTTTTTTTTTTTTTGTTTTTATTTTTTTTTAAATTTGGCTGTAGACCTTCAAAAGGAGGGGTGCAACTTTGGGCAGAGAGATTGGGCAATTCGAGTAATTGGAAGTCTAATTATATATACATATAAATTATAGGAATTTTTATTGATAAATTCTATTTAGAAGTGTTCTAATTCCAGACGTCTATGAAGGAATTTTTTAACCCACTTAGTTCTATGTATTTATATTTTTATTTCATAAAGTCCTTTTTCTTGATTTACATTATTTTTTTAGACTCTTATGTTCTTATATTTAATATTGATATTTAATGTTGGGAAAGGAGAGAGAAGGGAAATGATCAAGGGATGGGAATTTCATACACAAATTAAATAATAATGATGTTATTATTTTATATTATTATATAATGCGAATATATTTTTAATTGACAACACATTAAAAATAATGTGAACATTCTCTCTCATCTGATATGAACATTCACAACACCCTTTTGAAAAATTCTCTCTCATCTAATGTAGTGATGTGAACGTTTACAATATATGAACCTTCTTATTTTTAATTGATAACATATTAAAATAACGTTTATTATATTTTTAATTTACAACACATTCTTATTCACAACATGTAATGATATGAACATTAACAACATACGAACATTCTCTCTCATCTAACATGGTGATGCGAATGTTCAAATTCGTATGTTTTAGTATGAATATTCACATAATGTAATTAACAATATAATAACAAAAATTCATTTTAAATTAAAGTGAATATAATGATGTGAATATTCATTTCAATTGCATGATGTGAATATTCACATCATGTAATTGACAACATAATAACAAAAATTCACTTCAAATTAATATGAATATAATGGTAGTCAACATCTTGATGCATGGGAACTATCAATATATAATGACAATCAACATTAATAGGGGGTAGGAGAGATTGGTGGTATTTTGGTCTCCTTACCTCAAATAAGACCTAATGAAATAGTAAAAAATAATATGAATTGAATGAAATAAAACTTTTAAAAAGAGGATTTATCGAAAAAGCTCCTTAAATTATAAGTCAATGAACAACGTTAAAATAATTTGAATTGTTAAATTATATTTAAAATAATTTGAATTGTTAAATTATATTTAATATATATCATATACGTAAGTAATAAAATATAAAACTTTACAATTTTATTTTCTCACTCAAAAATGATTAAAATTACCATAGCGGCCTCAATTCTCTTCTCTCGTTTCCGTCTCTATTATTACAAAAATTATTTATTTTGATATTATTAATAATTTAATAAAAGAAATATTATGATTTAATTTTAACAAATTAATCAACCTAGTTACACAAAAAAACCAAATTTATGAAAAATTTGAGCTTAGTCTGAGTTCAACTTATTATGCTCGGGTTGGGCTTGGACAACAAATTCAAGTTGCAAATTATGCTTGGACATAGATAACTCTTAGCACAACTTATATTAAGTTTAGATAATTTTTTAATCTGACCAAATCTACTTGAGTTGCACCCTTATAAAAAAGGATAGGGCCGGTCCTAATATGCACACAAAACCCAACAATCTCCGGAATATTGGGGAAAAAATAGTGGATGGAACGTTGGCCGACATCCTAAAAGATGAATTTCTGACTCCGCCATTGTGTATTGTGTGGTATCCAATAAAGTAAGATAAGTGCATATAACATTCAGACTACCAGCCGGATACGTAAACAGAATTCACGGGGTCACCCATTTTTGGAGGGTTGGATAACAATTGAAGTAGGAAACTTCGTCCAATACACAACACTTGTTATCCTCATGATGATCAGACCAATCCAATGGTCTAATGTTTGTGACATTGTTGTTGTTGTTGTCTTTTATTAACTGATGATCAAACAGTCTAAAAAAAATGACAACCATCTGATTCTTTCGACGAGGAGATATATATACATATACATATATGTTGAACAGGAAGCTTCTCATATGAGAGAGTACCATAGACTGCAATTTCACAGTGAATTACACGGCAAGATGTTCACATCACTTTTATCATTTTATACATATAGTATGTCTACAAATTTGATTCACATAAAATAAGGTAGTAGGCAAAATTATAATAAAGTCCTTCACATTTTTGTCAATTACTTCAATTGTTCCTCTTAAACCTTCACAATTTTTTTTTTTTTTGGAATCAATTATTCAATTTTTTCTTTATTATACAATTTTTGCACCCAAAAAAAAAAAATTGTGAAGGTTTAAGAGGAACAATTGAAGTAATTGACAAAAATGTGAAGGACTTTATTATAAGGGGGAAGCACCAATAAATTCTAAATTTGGGAATGTTAACCCATTTAGTCCTGAAGATTTTTTGTTGGATTAATAGGTCCTATTTCCCAAGAAGCTTACTATAGGCCTTTTTATGATTTTTCTTCTTTTCAAACATCAAACATTATTCATCAAACATCAAACATTAGCAACGTCAGGATTATTTATCAAACATCAAACATTAGCAACGTCAAAATTATTCGTATACTGTTGGTGAAAACATTAGCAACGTTAGAATTATTCATCCAACATCAAACATTAGCAATGTCAGGATTTTTCATCAAACATCAAACATTATTCATCAAACATCAAACACAGATTCTCAACCATTAAACATTAGGATTATTCATCAAACATTAGATTTATTTTTAAAAAAATTGAAATTATTGCTCGAGATCCATCATCAAATTCATTAGAACATCAAATCCATCAGATTCATCAGATTGTGGGTGTTTGTGGGTGTTTCATCAGATTCATTAATTTGAAACATCATCAAAAATCAGATCGAACAAGGCAGACTTCGATCACCACCGACTTGGTATCGCGAGATCTGGTGATGGAGACACCGAAGACAGCGGCGGGCCGCCAAGTGGTGCCGGAGACGGTGGAGAGGAGGACCGGTTTGCCGTCGAAGGAGAGGGATAGTCAGTCAACAGAGTCGTCCCAAATTGGGGTTTTTTGGACGGCGATGATCTGGGTTTTGGATCCCACCGGCAATCGCAAAGAGAGAACCAGAGCAACATCTTGATGATGTCTTGAAACCGTCGGATCAACTTCTTCATCGTTTTTCTTGTGAGAGAAACACAGATTCTCAAGCACCAAACACACACACACACGCACACACACACACATAGAGAGAGAGAGAGAGAGAGAGTGTGTGTGTTGGGGCAATGGAGGGAGAACGTGAGTTTGGTGAAGGTAGAGAAAGGGATCTGATCGAGCATGTTCCATTACGGTAATGGGGAGGCTGCATGTTGTTTTGATGATGTTGTTTGATGATGATGTTGTGATATTTGATGTTGTTTTGATGATGATGTTTGATATTATTTTGATGATAATGTTGTGATGTAAAAAAATGACTAAATGGTTTACAAAAAAATATTCAGAACTAGATAGAGTAATATTTTCCAATATGGAACTTATGAACAATTTTTCCCTATTATAATTTTGCCTACTAATAATACATCTAGTAGAAATAGGAGTGTTCGTTAGGGTACCCTAAAAGTTGTACATATTAAAACAATCTCACTTTTCTAATGAATATTATAATATATTTTTTATGATTTAATTATATGTAAGTAGACTTATTTTTTTGGATATGCATGTTTATGTTGTTGGGAGAATTTGGAAGCGCACACGCTGTAACACTAACTCCATTTGTAAAGAAGAAACTTTAGAGTCTAAACGGACAATATAATATATATATATATACTTTTTTTTAAATTTATGCGTATTTAAAAGTTTAATGTGATAATTTCATTCGATATATATCATGCCTTACTATTTTTACTTTTTATCCGATGTGAAATTCTACTCAACACAGTCTAACCTATATAGTTTTATTCACAAAAGGATTTTTAATTTGGTTGACTTGGGTGGTATTATAGCTTTTATGTTTTTTCATATGACAATGACTCTCTTTTCGGTTTATTTCACATGAAATTTATTGCTAAGAAATTGAAAATGACTTGGTAGATTTGGTTTACATATGAAAGATACCAAGATAGATACAAGGGAACCCATCAATGCAAAATAAATAATCCAGCAAGATGCTTTAGTTACAAAAATGTAAACATCATAATAATTTGGGGAAAATTTTATATAAAAATTATAAAAAAAAAGAATATATTTTTTATAAGGAAAAATGATATAGATAGAAGTATTTTTACAATAATGACATACTTATACTGATTGAATCTTAATGAGATTAATATGGGACTCATTAAATTAATTATTGTGAGTGTACCACTTCAAATAGTAAATAGAACACGATTAAGAAAATAAAAAAAACAATAATCATCCAATTGTTATTTAAGTGTATGTCCAATTTGATTGCTTTTATTTTCTCTATTCTGTCGTAGTAAAAAAAAAGGTTAATTCCACTGTGCTCCAATAACAATATGTCAAATGTGGTCATTTGCACTTGTTTTTTTGGTGCTTAACATGAAGAAAAAATGATGTTATTAGAAACCGTTTTTTGAACATTATAACAGGTTTATTTGGTGTAATTTCTTATAAACTAAAAGTTGGTAAT